GGTGATGCAATGGCTAAACATAGAAAGATGATGGAGGCAGAGATAAATGCAAATAAAAGAAGTCAATGGGCTCAAAAGATAGAGCTTTGGAATAAAGCACTTAGAGAAGTTGTTGATTTAAAAGGGGTGGATGCAAATGGCAGGTAACCACTTTTCTTTAATATTGTTCAATAAGTGCATGAAAAGTCAATATCATCTTCTCCTATGCATTTCAATACGGTTTCGTCATAATCATCAAATAGGCATATTTTTGATGCATTACCATTTAAAGTTGGATAAAAGGATGCATAAAACTGAATCTAATTTTTGTAATTATCTGATCTCATAAATTAATTGTTTTTTCTTTCGGGAAAGAGACAAGTTCGGCAAAATATAAATTAATTTGTATAGGTAGGTTAAACCGTCATGCTAATTCTAAGACATTTTTATGCGTTTATTATCTTATTGTAAATAATTTTATTCAAATAAACCATTTTGATGATTTTTATCTTCTTTTTAAAAAAAAAAATACGGTCATAATGCATCACTGCATCTACTATTTTTTATGTCATTCTACCTTCAAATCATATCATTTTTTTTATATTATTTTAATTCTCTTGTAATAGTTAGTAAAGGTTAACGTATAACTATTCACTAACACGTTTTTGGTTTCATGCAAAACCATGTCGGTATTTAAGTTTGATGGTTTTGTAGAAACACAATGAAATTGGTGGCCCGTTAATGAAATCTTGTATTACATTGATGGCTCTAGTTTTATTATAGATAATAATTATGACCTTGCACATTAGATGCTTATATGGTTAGAAACACAAATACGATAATAGTTCTGATGTGAAAATTTAATTAGAAACACAAAAATATGATATAATTTTTATTTGGATCTTAGGATATCTCCCGTAGATCTTTGGAAAAACTAAATTTTCAGTATGGCATGTTAAGTTTTTAGATTATGGTTAGTGGTTCTTACTAAATCAGATTACAGGTTAGAGGTGGAGTTTATTGATGAAATTGTGAAGGACATCTTCCATAGATTACGCATATCCTCAAGGTTCCCACTACCACAACTTTTCGGAAGGGACAAATCCATTAAGTTCATCACTTCATGGCTGAAAGAGCCACCCTCACATACAATAGATATAATCACCATCTTTGGTACGGGTGGGATTGGAAAGACATCTTTAGCCAAATATGTCTATAGATTACATTCTCATGAATTTGATACAAGCTGCTTTGTTGAAAATATAAATAGGAGATGTGAGAAAATTGATGGGTTGCTTGATTTTCAAAAACAACTCTATGATGAAATTGCAAAACGAAGTTCAATTCAAGTTCATGATGTTTCTATATACACCTCAATGATAGAGAATGCAGTATCCCGTAAAAAGGTGTTTCTGGTTCTTGATGATATTGGTAGTCTCGACCAGTTAGATGGGTTACTTGGAAACAAAGGTTTTCATCTGGGAACCAAAATCATGATAACGACGAAGGACGCATGGTTGACAGAGCGTTGTGCACTATTTAAAATGAACGTGGAACCCAAATATGCTAAGTACATGCTGAATGGCTTATCAGAGTCTGAATCACAAAAGTTGTTGTGTTTTCATGCATTCATGGGCAACAATCCCAAGGCAGGTTATGAAGAGGTGTCAAGAATGCTAGTGAAGTATTGTCAAGGACATCCAATGGCTCTTAAAGTTTTGGGTAGGTCTTTGCATAATCGAGATGCTACTTATTGGGAGGGGTACATAGACAGACTAAAGAAAGAAAACGATTCCCCTATAAATAATGTCTTGAGAATGAGTTTTGATTCTTTGCCATCAGAAAATGATAAGGAGTTGTTTAAGCATATTGCTTGTATTTTTGTTGGAATGGATAGAAATGATGTTGTAACAATATTAGAGGCATGTGATATAGAAACAAAAACCGGGATCACGAATCTTATTGACAAATGCTTTCTTAGTATCGGATTATGTAATGAATTGATTATGCATGAGTTGGTTCAAGAGATGGGGAGATTTGTAGTACGTGAAGAATCACTTTACAAGTCATGGGAACGAAGCCGTTTATGGGGTCATGAGTCATTTACAGTGTTGAAAGACGAAAAGGTAAGATGTCATGTATACTTGTTTAAAGCAGTTTGTATATATATATATATATATATATATATATATATATATATATATATATATATATATATATATAACATTTTAAATTTATTTTTTGCACCCCCTTTCTTCTTAGGGTACAGAAAATGTTCTAGGCCTCACCCTTGACATTGGAATGCTTGAGGAAAAGAACTTACATGGATCACTTGAGTTGAAAACAGATGCATTGAGTAAGATGGATAGGCTGATGCTGCTACAACTCAATTATGTGCAAATAACCGGCTCTTACAAGAATTTTCCAAAAAAATTAGTTTGGTTGTGTATGCAAGGGTTCCCTTTAAAGTCTATACCGTCAGACTTACCAATGGAAAATCTGGTTGCTCTTGATATGTCAAATAGCTATATTGAATCATTTGGGATTTGTTATAGCTATCCACAACGACTTCATAATTGGCTAAAGGTAACTTATCTTCATTTATCACTCTTCTATGTCCAGTTGATAAAATTCACTACTATCCTAACTTATCTCGATTTCAGCAATTCATTGGATCGGGCTCAAAGGACAAAAAGTTGCTTGGATCGTTGAAGATTCTTAATTTAAGTTTCTGTGAACAGCTTCGTAGTCTTGATGGCTTTGACCACATCCCTAAACTTGAGACCTTAATACTCAAAGGTTGCATTGGTCTGCTTGAAATTTCTGAATCAATTGAGCAATGTGATGAACTTGTCTTTGTTGATCTAAGCTACTGCAACAAGCTTAGAAAACTTCCTAAAGTCATAGGCATGTTAAAGACGATTAAAACGTTGTCGCTAGATGGATGTAGTCTCGGTGAATCTCGAATTGACATTATGGATATGGATTCAACAGAAAAAATCAAGGCTAACAATATTGACATAAGCACAATAATTTCTTCTTCCAGTTTTCTCCAGGCTATGCCAAGTTATTCAAAGTTCTCTGAGATTTCCTTACATGAATATATAGTAAGCTTGTTACTTGAGAATAATAATTTGTCCACTGAATCTTTTCCCTTGGACTTTAGTTGCCTAACCATGTTGAAGGAATTATATTTAAATAAAAATCCTATTGTTTCCCTGCCCAGTTGTGTGAGAAGCCTTCCTAGGCTTGAAAAACTTTGTATGGTAAATTGTAATATGCTGACATCAGTCGAGCATCCTCCACATACACTAACATTTTTAGATCTATATTCTAGTTATAGTGATAAGCCTTTGCTACGAAAAGTTGTATTCGATCCACAAATGTCCCCACTCAAACTCTTTTTGGGATGGAAGATGCACACACGTTCATCGTTAGAATTTGAAGGCTTTGTCAAAATCGAACCAATGGCAGGTGTTGAGGAAAAGGTATTTTGTAGTTTGGGCTGGACTAAGCTAGACTTCCTTAACGGAATACAATTAACAACTTCTGTTGATTATAGAGAATCAGAGGAGTCCGAAATCCAGGTTTGCTCTAGTTAACAATCTGTATATATATGATTAATTAATGTGGTGATTAATGAAGGTGGTTGTATATGGCAGATGTATTATGAATTTGGAATATTCAGCACAATATATGGAGGCGAAGAGATGCCGAATTGGATTACGTATAAAAGCACGAGGCCATCAATATCATTTACAATCCCATCATCTCCTACCAGGCTCAGAGGATTGAATTTCTGCTGTGTGCTGACATCTTCATATCTGGGTGAACAGGATGGGTTCCTTTATTTGCCAGTGATCATAATTGGTAATATAACAAAGAACCTCACCTGGATATACCAACATTGCATTGAATGTGTACTTGATGTCGGTGGAAAGTGTTTGATTCTAGTAAGTCATTGGATGTTTGGAGTGAATGAGATGGAATGTGGTGACCATGTTACTATTAATGTGAGGTGGGCACCACATGATATTCCTGATGCAGTTAACAAGGAGTGTGGGGTGAGTTTTGTGTATGATGATGAAAAGACTGATGAAGAAGAAGAAAATGTGTTGGGTTATTATAAGTCATGGAATCACATCCTTGGTGGAGATCTCACCGGATTTCAGTTAACATCAGGGGAATACCTCCTAAGCAAAGATCGAATTATGTCGCCTTTCATTGATATTGATATACCAAAATATGATCATCTGTGTGAAAATGGCGCCCGCTTTAAAGGTATGTATTTCTTTTTATCTAGAGCTGATACTAACTAAAATGATAAACTTTTACTTTTTATCTAGAGCAATTGCTCTTTAGAGCTCTCTCTGGAAGGAAGTCGGCCCTACTAGAGGATGGCCCCTAAGGTACTTTTATATCCTAAAAACCCTTTTCCTGTCTTTTAGGTTTGTTTTTTTGTGTTTTCTAATGACAATGAAGGTGCTTTCTGTTCACTACAAAAAAAAGCCATTTAATTGCATACAAAAAGTGCCACAGAAAACTTAAAAAATGCCACTAAAGACCCTACTAAGAATGAGCGGCACACAAAAAAAATGCCACTAAAAGCGATACCACTAAAGCCTTTTAGTGGCACTTTTTGGTTTGTCACTACAAACCTTTAAGGTTTTAGTGGCACTTTTTTTTTGCCACAATATACAAAAAAGATTTTGTGGCACAAGTTTTGTGCCGGTAAAAACTATTGTTATTTAAAATCTATACCACATTTAGTGGCACATAATTTTTGCTACAAAAACCGTATTCCCAATTTAAATGTCATTATAGACAGTTAACATATTAGTTTTGATTAGTTAAAATCATTAATTATAAAAGATAAACAAAACAATAAATTGTAAAATCATAATACCATCATTTCAATTAAAAGTTAAATCGTCTTCCAAAAACGTTCCAAATGTTTGGAAACAAATTCCTACTAAGTGTCAATTTAAGTCTAAAAATCTAACATAAAACACAAAAAATCATTACGCTCTTAAATCTCTCTCAAAATCTTCATGGAAGTAATGTGATCCTCGTGTAAACTCTTGGGGAGGACTCACTTCTTGTTCTGGATTAGCTTCATGAACTTCCCACCTAGAAGACCCACAAAAAGAACAAACTTCATCTTTCTCCTTGTCATCCCAAAACAACATGCAACCATTAGGACATGAATGAATTTTTTCATATCCTAATCCCAAGTTAGCCATTATTTTTTTTACTTGATGTGTTGATTTAGGTAACACATTTCTTTCAGGTAACAAATCCTTTAAAAACTCTAACAACATAGAGAAAGATTTGTTACTCCAACCACCAAGACACTTTAAATGGTACAAATACACCACACATGATAATTTGTTGTATTTGCAATTCGGATACACTTTCTCTTCAGCCTCCTTCATAAGGTCATCGAATTTATTTCTCCCATTTCCCATCTCTTGACTATTATTTAAGGCATTCTCATGTATTTCCTCTCCCCTTCCACCTTCCATCTCAAAAATATCATTCAACATTTCATGCATTTCATGGTGAAATATGCTTTCTTCTTCGTTATGGGTTGTGCTTGTTGATGCAACTGTTGTGTCCTCCCCATGATATACCCATTTCAAGTAGTTTGGACAGAACCCTGAACATATGAGGTGATCTAGAATAATTTGTCTATTCTGATATTCCATGTTTATACAGTTTGTACATGGACACTTTATCATCCCCCCCTTGACACTTGTTCTCTCAAATGCAAAATTCAAGAAGTTTAGCACACCATTAACAAAAGTTTGACTTGATCTTGGTGCAAGATACATCCAAGATCTGTCCATGACTTATAGTGAGAAACAACAGAAGATTAACTATAACAAAAGAAATGGTATTAGTATAAGATGCATCTCAAACTTTTTATCAGGCATGAGTATGAGTAATTAGGTCTCACAATCAGGAAACAGAAATGACAGTACTACAAAAAACAACAAAGAAAATAGAATGAATACCTGCTAAAGTAGCTAACTCCTATGGAGGCAAAATGTAGTATAGAAAAATCGTAGTTGCAACAAGGAACCAATTGACCCAGTTGCCTTGTAGCCTTGGACCAGAGATTGATGGTGATACCTGTAATCGAATCGTTAGTAGGAAGCAGAGATCGATCAAATTTTAAAAGGTGTTAGTGAACCCGAGTGAAGGTGAAACTTAACCTAAAGTTCGCCAGTAAGGTTTGTTTTGTTGAAATTGTTTGAAGGATGAGGAAATCACGACTATAACCATTCAAAACTATAATTTCACAGCAGAAATTTTCAATAGAGGGATGGGAAATTTCCCTGGCGGTCGATTTCAACTTTTAATGGAGGGAAACTAAAAATTTCACCTGATTCTGGAGGGAATTCTGGAGGGAAAGGGGAAGCCAAGCTGAAATTTTTACTAGATGCACAAGAGAAGGGGAAAACGAGCCACAAATGAAAATGAAAGTTAGGTCTAAATAAATGGCACATTAGTTATATTCTTTTACACGCATCATTTAAAAAGTGAATATATTTTTCATTTAAAATAAGATAAGATGCTTTTTTAAGTTTTAATGGCACATATATATATTTTTATCCCATCGTTAATTCTAGGCCACATTTTTTAAGTTTTAATGGCACATATATTTTTTTTATTCCATCCTTAATTCTAAGCCTCACTCTATAAATATATATATTTCATGTAAAGTTAAATTGAAGCATCGTAATATGGGAGAGATTTATATATATATATATATATATATATATATATATATATATATATATATATATATATATATATATATATATATATATATATAGATATATTTGTTTTGTTCCACTTAATTCTATTTAAAAGGACATAAAATATAAAATGCCATTAAAACTAGTTCTCTTTTTTATGGCATACGCAAAGTGTCATTGAAAAACAAAATTAGTGGCACAAAAGATAAATACCACTAAAAATGTGTGCAACTAAATGGCTTTTTTTTTGTAGTGGTTTTTGAATTTTGTTTCCTAAAGGTTGGATCTATTTTGTTTATGCAAACTTATCTCCTCCACCAAAAAACACAGCCTAATGCTCAACTGCGTTGATCATATGACACATGTCTTTGTGTAAATAAACTGATCTAATACTCAAAATTTACTAATAGATATTTATTTCCTTAGAAGGAATGAACAAGTTACATAAGTACCTCTTTAATTAGTTATCTTCCAAATCACATGAGAATGCCCCCTTAAATGCGCACTAATCAACTACAAAGCAGAATTCTTGGGAGCATGGGAACAAGGGAATGCAAGTATCATTAGAGGCCTCTGGGATTTATTTAAAATCGTATTTATCCACTTACAAACACGCCTATATAACTCTTTTGACATAAAAACTTCACATTCACTTGTACTGCAAAAAGAAGAGGTTGCAAGGGGGGCAAATTACTTGCTTTCCATTTTTACAGCTCTTCCCAGTGATAATTTAACCAAAATTCTTACGCCTTTTTAGTATTGATGATTTGCATGTCTTTTCTGTTTTTTTATTTAGTAAACCAACAATCACGTTGGCCTTCTTACAATAATCAATATGAACAACCACAACGTATCATGTTTATTCCATCTTCTGCAGCTTCTAGACCGTTGATACGTATATGAATTAAGCTAAGAATAAACTTTAGGCTAAATGTAAGAAGTAGCAAAATACTTTCATTTATAAGTATGTTATTGCATCCGTATTTCATTTCTTCTAATTACAACATTGTACTTTCACTTTTAATCTTATTAAGGCATTTTACTTAGAAAAATTACCCAATTATAGCATTGGACTTTTATTCTTCTTAATTGAGTAGATTTTTCAAAGTATAGAAGTGAAAACTCAAAGTTGTCTAATAGGAAGAATTGAAAGTTGCTTTGTAATTTGGATAGCATTTCTATACATTGAATTCTACTAATTATAGCACTGAAAATTGCTTTGTGAATTGGATGACATTGCTATAATTGGATAGATTATTCAAAGTACAATCTTGTATCAGGAAGAAATGAAGTAGAATCAATTAAAGCACATTTCTATTTTTGCATTGAAACCTAAACTAAGTGGCTTGTATATAGAATTTGTTTCATGTTTGTGGTTTCTCTACTCCATTTTACATCTATCTGTATTTCTTTTAGATGGATTTCAATCAACATTCAGCTGCAAATCAAGCTGCTGTGAGACCTTGACATTCTAACGTGTCAAATGTTCCTTGTATACCCTCATTACCATGCTCCTGAAAACTTTTCTCCACTTGAAACATAACACTAGGTCCTAATTTTTATTAAACAGCAAAGTATATGTACAAGCCCAGCTAATATTTGGAATTCATTATATGAACTGTAGATGTGTCTTTCTTTTTTTCCCAGGATTTATGAGGTTTTTGAGTTAATTTCGGGCCTTAATATGTAAATATGTGTATGTGTGTTTATTCGGCTGTTGATTTGTATTTTTAGTGCTTACAAAGTTACAATAGGCTTAATTTTTATTATTTTTATTATTTTTACGCATTTAATGCACCAGAAAGCCAAGTGCATCACTAGATTGTACTGTACAACACAATATAAGATTCTTGGAGGATTTTTTTTGCTCATGTAACTCAAAGTTGCGCATCGACTTAATTAAATAATTAATCGTAAATACAAAATGTTTGGAAAATTTTATCAAACAATAAGCCAATAAACCTTTTTCAACGTTTTTTTGTTAATTCAGTTATTATTAGCATCAAAGTCTTGAAAAACAAAAATCAAAATGGTCTCCGTTCTGGTTCAAAAAGCCCAGTCCAGTTAATTTTTTATTTGGATTTAGACTGGTTGATGACGGGCCCAGTCCAATAACTTGTATATCATATTGATAAAAGAAGTATTTGAGTCTATTTATTTGGAGACTCATGTGTAAACATTTTTTATGGGTGTTGTAATTAAATTAAAAGAAACATATATAATTTGCTTGTATGTCATATTGATAACATATTATTAGCTACAATATTTTTTTTTCGAAAAAGAAAAACTTTAAACAAATAGAAATATATGAAGGAAATTACAAATTTGATCCATGTGTTAGCTTGGTCAAAGTTTTGATTTTTTTTTTCTCAAAAACATCTCCATAACTCCTTTTTGTTAATGACGTGGTCAATGAAATCATTAGTCTAACCATAAAGTGTCAAATTTTAAGAGTATTTTAGCCTTTTCTTTACTGGTCAAATTGGACATGTGCATTGCATATAAGAGTACTTTAGTCATTCCTTTACTGTCAACTATCATCATCTTTTGCATCATTGGTCCCTTCCATATATGTATGTTACCCCATTTTTTCCTAATTCATCCAACTACCTAACTCTAGATATTAATTTCTCGTTCACCATAATTCGTTTTGCTATAAATTCGTTTTGAATGAGTGATATAGCAAAACGAATGTATCATAAAGGAGAACACAAATATATAACAATTTATCCATTTTAAGATGTTAAGGGTTTGAAAATTAGCTAAACCATTTTTTTAACACAATCTTAGATTCCCACATAAATAGTTGTATTGGTAACCGACCTTCTAGTGCCAACACATTTAACCCGCCAACATCCATGTGTGCCACTAACCTCAAGTTACAAGACTTGTTAATAATAATCCATTTACCAAGATTACATTTTAAGTACCTTAGTATTCTAATGGATCAAGACTTGTTAATAATAATCCATTTTCCAAGATTACATTTTAAGTACCTTAGTATTCTAGTGGCTAACGTTAAATGCGACTTCCATAAAGCATACATGATTGGCTCAATGTTTGGATAACAAATGAGATATTTGGCCTAGTGATGCCGAATAAATGAGTTTCTTAATTAACTTTAGATAACCTGTTAAAACACGTAAAAGACTATCGTTCACATCAAGTCATTTGTTATTAACAATAATGAACATATCTAATAGGGTGTTAACATGATTACGCCAGGGGCGAATTTACATAGGTGTAAGGGGTATCCTATGCGACCCCTCAAATTTTGTTTAGAAGCATAAAAAATTTCATATTTTTTTTATCTTGCGGTGCTACCCCAGTAAAAACTATGGACTACTTTATATTATATATTACACATAAGTTTTTGTGTGGTACCTAGAACTTTAACCTTGGCTTCGCTAATGGCTTTAACACATGTAACCTAAACTAAGTAGCTTGTATATAGAATTTATATTATATATTGCACTGAAACCTAAACTAAGTAGCTTGTATATAGAATTTGATTCATGTTTGTGGTTTCTCTACTCCATTTTACATCTATCTGTATTTCTTTTAGATGGATTTCAATCAACATTCAGCTGCAAATCAAGCTGCTTTATGAAAGGATTCATGCCCATCAATAATACCAGCAAATATTTAGAATTCATTATATGAACTCTAGATGTGTCTTTCTTTTTTTCCCAGGATTTATGAGGTTTTTTAGTTAATTTTGGGCCTTAATATGTAAATATGTGTATGTGTGTTTATTCGGCTGTTGATTTGTATTTTTAGTGTTTACAAAGTTACAATAGGCTTAATTTTTATTATTTTTATGCATCTAATGTAGAGATATTGATGAATAAAAACATTCAACAAACATAACCAAAGCTAGGCTTCAAATTTATTTATGTGTCGATCTAATTTGTACTTACTGTTGGGTTATTCCGGTGCTTAAA